CATAAAGAATATGTTTCGCGCCTTCGGAATTTCAAATTTTTATAGAAAATTGTAACTTATAAGCAGCAAAATAGCATTTCAGATAGTTATTTTGTATCTTCGTTTAACTGGAGATCATTTACCATTAATTTGTTGTTTTTGTCGATGAATTTGAATTTGTTTCCGATAGATTGACGATTTTCTCCTATTTCGTGAGCTATGACACCCAATGTAATTCAGGCGTTGGACTACACCCTCACGCGCCAACTTAGTTCGTGTCCTGGGAAGCAAAACGAATTGCAGCATAAATGTAAGCACCCCAAGGCACAGTCAGCAGATGAATGATTTACAGGAAGTGACAAGAACTGAATTGCTCATTCTAAGCTTGTTGCCTTTGTTAGTCAAACTTAAGTAAGGGCGCAGGGCGGGAGGATGTAGAATCTGAGCATCAATTTTGTTTATTTTTTGCTTTATTTGACACATCAGTGAACAATAAGGGCTGTCTATTTCAGATCAGCGAACTCCAAAATGTGCTGCTGGAAACGAACATTTTGTTGGTGGCAAGCAATGTGCTAAAAGTCAGTTATTTCGATCACTGAAAAGAAGGCGGTACAGTTCTCTGAGGAAAGATCTGTTTCAGGTTTCATTTCTCCCCAAAAATTAATGCGCTAACTTCGAGTAAATCTTAGAGTCCGGTAGTTGATATCAACAGTTTTGTCGAATCCAACAGCTTCAGCAGGACAGCCGCATAATATCCCTAAGTTGTCAGCAGGCAGAGTGTAATATGCACCTGTTGAGTGCTTTATCATAATGACGGCACAGATGCTAGTTAAAAGTTATGCTGTCCTTCTTGGCAGTCCCACTTTTAAATCACACATCGGTCCGGTCGGTCACTGGAGAATCCATCAAAATAAAATCACTAGAACAATGTCAGGAGCCCTGACAAACGTCCGTCGCACACGACTCATCTGCCTACACGGTCCCAAGACATTGAAATCCCTTATGGGTATTTACGACTATATGATCCTGCAAGACAGGTTGGTCTCGGTGACCCTGATCAAATTCCGCTAAATACTAGCTGCGGCGGCGGAAGCAGCAGCAGCAGCAGCACTACTACTACTACTACTACTACTACTACTACTAATACTACTACCACCACCACCACCACCATCACCATCGTCATCACCATCACTAGCGTCGTTGCCATCGCCACCAGCTCAGCAGCGAGATTTCCATTCTGCGCTTACTGCCACCGTACATTTGAACCGGTTTTTTGCACATTTCCTCAAGGCTGACAATGGCCAGGAAAAATTCCGTCGAAAATTTACTTAAAAAATTCTCACTTTTCCAAAAGAAACCATTGTCTACAAATATATATGTATATATTTATATGTATATGATAACGATGTCGACTGACAGCCCTTATTGTAAAGATGGTTTTCGTATTTCAGACTTTCGCATTGATACTGATGATCTCCCCTCAGAGTAAGCAATTCTGAATCATATCAGGTGTGCAATGCAAAATGCTGAAGGAATACCTTAGAATATTGTCTTCAAAGATGGCAAGGTTTTATTGGCCTGCATATGGGGCACAGGAGAAAACAGCCATCTTGAAAGTACTATTGTGTTGCTCCATACAAATAATACTGAAACCTGACGAACATCGGACAGTGCTAGAGTCGAGTTTAGAACCGACTGCTGTAAAAATGTTTTCAAACGTTGCATATCTACTACGCAGGAGATATTTTTGGATTGGATGGCAGTTTCAATATAGTAAATAGCGTTTTGCCCCAAAATGTCCTTCAAAAGCTTATCCACCGAGAGTTGCCTTTTTTGTTTATTACATACCATACAAATGCGAGATTTGAATTTATTGTGAACTAATTCCATAAATTTGTTCAAACGCCTTTACGTTTAGTTTTCTCGTTTTCCTTTTAATCGAGCAGAATCCTTCACGTCTAACTACAAATTACCCTCAGCATTATTTTTCACGCACGTAATCCCTAAAAGTCTTGGCGAGTTCGTTATCTGTACAGAATCCCCAAATTTACAGTAAGTGGGCTAACTCATGAAATGTCAACTGAAATTCCGAAATGCTTTTTTTGTTTCCAAAAGATAAATTAGGTAGGGTTGTAAAACTAATCAGCCTACAACATTATTCTATAATATTTCAGTTACCTAACGATGCCGGCTTTCGAACGAACATTCTTCCGGCTGCATGTAAAAAGCACACTCTGTAAAAAATGACTATTTGAGTAGCATCAATTTTTCTCATGGAAAACATGCATAAAACTATTGTTTTTCGCTCGTTTGGTAGAAAATTACGTCTTCTTCTAATCTTATGCTCGAAGGAAGGGTAAAATTCGGTTTTCAAAAACTTTTTCAACTCCCGAATAATTTTGAACCCGCTCTACCGTTGCACTTGGATTTAGGGTTTCCGAAATACAGGCCGTATATTTTCCACATATGGAAAGCCACACATTTCTCTACGGTAATAAAGGGGGATCGTATAGGGTTCATAAAATTAAGCAGTGGATTTGATCCCTATTGTTAACTTTACAAGCCATATTGGTAAAAGCAGAGATATGACGATTTATGAACGGCCTTTTCATGGTATTTAAAAGTCCCACAATCAGAGACTTTTTTACAACCTCATTATGTCCCTCCTTCGAGCAAAAAGTTTGAAAAACGTAATTATCTACCGAATTAGCAAAATAATAAATATTTTATGCATATTTTCCATGAAATATAATTAAATTTTTAGTGGCGTCGAAAATCATTGAGGAAAATTCATGCCACATAAGTAGTCATATTTTGCAGAGTGTAGTTTCTTCATGCAGCCGAATTGAAGTTTGTTCGAAAGCCAGCATCGTGAGGTAACTGAAATATTATAGAATTATGTTGTATGCTGACCAGTTTTACAACTCTACTTACTTAATCCTTTTGAAACGAAAAGACATTTCATAGTTTCGGTTGACTTTTCATGAGTTAGCCCATCTACTGTAATTATAAATGTGTTTGCGTATTCAGCCATATCAGCGGTCAAAATATGTAATTAAGCATGAAAATAGTTAAAGCATAGGATTGAAAATTGAAAGAAGATTAACTGGATTTAAATAAATCATTCATGAAATATAATTTTTCAGAAAAAGCAATTTTTAACGCGCAATATTGTTAATGAAATTGTTCGGGTCTTGCGGAAAGGCTGCCGCAAATTTAAAAACAAACTCTTATTAAATATGAGTTATGAATAAATGTGAGGAAAAATCTCAAACGAAATATTACCAAGTGTGTCCCCTTATTTGGTCTTTGCACTTCAGCGGTAATGAACTATGCAGGTCATCTCTTAACGTTTAGTGTTACCTTGCTACGAAATCCAAAAATAAAAATCGGGCGGAGAATTTACCAGTAAATCATTGCTGTCAAATAAATAATGCTCGTTTAGCATGCTTCATGTTATAATAAAAGTAGGGAAAATACAAAATAGTTTTTTCGAAGGAATTGCGTTTCAAGCATCCAGATGAAGAGTGAATTGGAATCTTGGGAAAACATTTAAGGAGCAAGATACCGGAAAAAATACATGACCATTTTGCCGGTCGAATTTAATTTTTATGTTTCATGTAGCTAGCAAGTTCAATGAACTATAACGATTCAGCTAATTTATTCCGGAGGAAATTTCTTTAATTTCTTTATGTCAAAATATAAATAAACTAAACAGATATGGATAAATTTTCGGAGCAGCCTTGTTAGTGCAAAAGTTACCGACTGGCTAATGTTATTGTATATGAACCTTCATACAGCTTATAGGGTAACCGCTTTGATAATGGAATGAATAAAGTAAAAATGTGCAAAGCCAACAACGTATCTATGATTAACTATCAAATGAAACGCCTGGCAAGCCTGAACGCAAGTGTCTTTCCACAGATTGGCACTTTCTGAACCAATGAAAAAGCGGTTTTTCCTCCCAGCCAATGTAGTTAGGAGATCGGCCCTTGGCAGTGTGATGAACAGTTATGAATGATCAGCACGAACACGGATCTGCAGATGCGCGAACATGTACCTCAAAGTATGGATGAACTGAACGTTCTCAAAAAAGAACTTGGGATAATATTTACATCACACTGCACAAAATGTAAGTCTTTATCAAAACATTCGATTGATTTAGTTTAAAGAGAAATCAAAAAAATGGCGTGGAAATAATGCGCAGATGAAACTATATTTAAAATTGCGTGTAGTACATAACACGCACATAAAGCGGTTATGCGTTACTTTCCCAAAATTCACAGGCAATTCTGAATTTTCAAAATTTTCCACCAACATGCACTCTTAACGAAATCAAAGTCATAAGCCTTTTAAAGATTGGTAGTCTGTTGTTTATAGTTTTTCGGACGCGATATTCCCTTCATAGGTTTATTTTCACTGCCGCTTTGAAGGTGCTTCTGGAGACGTTTTTAAATTTATTTACGACTTAGGTGTTCAGTTCATCTCTAACCCCATGGACGGAAATAAGACAACTGATAAAATTTTTTCCCAACTTTAACCGGATGTTCTCCATCCAAACGAGGACAACTGCCGCTTTCATACTTCTCATCTACATCAAAGGTAAGTGATTAATATCTTACAAACTGATCTTCCCATTTTGACCTCGGCGAAAAACCCTAGATGTGAGAAGAAAACAGTTTTCAATCCTTTAACTTAATGCTAATTTCTACAGCGGGATAATTTAGAAGGATTGCGATCGTAGGTATGGAAAGGTTAAAATAATGGCTATCATTCTAGTGAGTGTTATTGCCGGTAGCCGCTCCTCTATGACTGATAGCAGTAGACATAAGGTTGCAAATAGGCGAAAATTGCTCATCATATAACGATCTCACCAGCAAAAAATGTGGTTGAGATTACCGACCAAAGAATGCGAGCTAAATGGTACATGAACATGTCTTTCGGGTAAATAAGTTAGTGACTGTGAGAACAGTTATCAATACCGAAGAATATAACTGCCTCATTGGCACATATGATAAGATAAACGGCATTTATTTAGACAGACGTGATTAAGACTTGGCAGCGCCTTTATTCTTTCTTATATTTGCAGCGGCATCCGTACCAGTGTTCACACATGACGTCGAAATACCTCCTTCCTTCTTGACGATGCCACCCAGGGAAATAATACATATTCCGGGCAGGCCTCTTCACATTCCCTGCAAAGCTATAGGATTTCCGGAACCAAGGTATTCCTTCAAAGCACTTGTAGAGGTGGTCAGCTTTTTTTTACAAGTCTGCTTGCTGATGGTTATAAAATAACCTTCCTATGCTTGCTGCACAATGCTAACCCAAGGAAATGCAGCGCAGTTAAGCATTGATTGTTACTTGTTCAATAAAAACATTTGTGAAAATTAGTAGGAAATAATGGAATTGAAACCTAGAGTGCAGTAAGTACTATCTTAAAGCAGAAGACAAGATGAAGACTCCTTCAATTTCCCCGGCATTGAAACTACTAATTTTCCACAACCAACAAAATGTCTCATATGTTTCACCTTTACACAATCGGTCTAAAGGTTCTCGATCACATAAATCCGTGGCCAAGTTCTTTTGGAGCCTAACTTTAAGTCGATAAGTCTATCGTCACCGGAGCCTACTCATCAAAATGCTTGTCACTTGATCATACACAAACGTAGACATTTGCTATTATGGGCAAATTGGTAAGCTTTGACAAGAACCGATTCGTATAAGTACAATAGCCGTTATTCTAAAAATCAAGTGAGACAAAAATAATGTTTTAATTTGTCTATTATGATAATGCAATGCAAATGTTTGGAGTTAATATTTGCTGTTGGTCCTTGATACTTTATCTATATTGCCTGTACGCAGTTACGTTTTTGTTACACTACGACGAGAAAGCCTATAAAATATGTGCTGACATCTTGAATGTAACACCTTTATAAGAAAAACGGCTTAAAACACGGAAGAAATGAAACTTATACGGATGCTTCAGTAGATATTTGGGAAACCTACCTACGTTGGTTCTTCTGAACGTGGAACATGGTCATAATTACAAATGGTGTATAGTTTAAATGAATAAATCGTTTACTGATTTCTTTTTTACAATCCCCATCCGCGCTTTAGGCGCTGAATGCCACGATACTGTTGGAAAGACGCAGATTACTATTCAAGTGCCCTATTTTCGCAAGCTTCATTTCTAGAACGACAGTTTCGGCGTGAAAGACGGGCGTGCTATTATTCGCAAGAAAAGAATTCCGAGACACGCTAATAAAGGCAACCTATTCTTGATTTTTCGAGGTTCGGGAGCTCCATCGTGAGAGGCTTAAGACTTTTACGCTTGCAGTCCGATTGCTAGAGCACAAGAGTTCTGGTTGGTTTTCATATTGCAGAGATGGGCATTTCCACTGGCCATCTTACACCACTTAGTAATAGGCCAATTTGTTGTTAATTTGTAGATGACTGGGGCATTCCTCCGACGACAAGACATAAACGCCCTCTTTTGCACCACTTCTCAAGGCTCTATCCATCACCTTTCCAGTGTCTTATTCACACGCGTATGCAGTCACGTAGATATGTGTGGACACCTAATAACTAGCTGCTTACGTTTGAGGGGTGTCATATGTCAAACGAGCGTCGAAAATGTCTGGTAAATGAGCGTGCGAAAAGACCCCAAAAAGTCTTTATAATAGCAATTGCGGACACATTGGCTGTCGCTATCAGTATTCATTTTGAACTGAAGTTTCGTCACCAGCAGTTTCAACTCGCTACAGCAACCATTAACCGGAATGTGTCTGGGTGCAGAAAGAAGCCTTTCCATCGGACCTAAAATAATTTCATTCGTTTTAAGCTATTCCTTCGGATTTACGTATCCTTAAATAAAAAAATGACCAAAATGACTTTAGGATTAAGAGCAGTAGAGCGCGCTGAAAAGGTTCTGTCTTCTTTATATTTAAAGGCGATCCTTATTTGCCCCCACTTTAAACCCCAACCTTGACTGCTTTAATTGGTGTTGCAGCAAATGCCATCAAAATACCATATTTCTGCGGTCAAATTCAAGTTAGTTATAAACATAAGGGTTTATCACCTGAAGACGGTGGTTACGGTAACATCTTATACATGTAAAAATGCATTTGGCAAACCGCGCGGTGGTCAGTCCCACAGCAATATATCGTCGCTTTTTGGTGCAGACTGAGGCATTTGTCCAATACCGAAAAGTAGTGACACAGGCACTTTGGTCTCATTATGAAGTGCGCCTACTGGCAAGTGTTCTGTGCGTATAAGGAGGTGATTGAGAGTTGCTTTTAGAATTTGTAGGCTTATGCGAACGTTGGCTTCGGCAAACAAGTCCGCAAAGGACTGGAATATGAACTCTCCTATAATGAGATGGAATTTCATTAAATTTCAGAGAGGGCAAATATTCCCCTGTCCCAAGCGTCAACCCGACACTGAGCCCAACTCAGACCTTACCCTTAACCTTTAATCCCACACCTAAACCTGGAGGTGGCCTCAACCTTAATCACCCTGGAATTCGGCGCAAGGTAACTGGTATTACGGAGGACATCCTATTTCTTTGTCCTATCACTACGTCTTTTCTTCTTCTTCTTCCTCTTCTTCTTCTTCGTGATGTATTCCTTTTCCCACACAACTCTGGTAACTGTTATTGTCTTTGGCGGCTGTAATGTTGTCTTATGGCAGCGCTTGTATAGTCACTTTAACCATCTGGAAAGACACAACAGTTCGAGGTGGTTAACATTGACACCGACATGCTAGAGTGTGGACGAGTTTGAATTTTTTGAGATTGTCAGGAGGATTTCAGTGAGCAAAACGTTGTGGCCTCAGTACGTTGGATGTTTAGTTCATTTTGGCAAGCACTACGAATTTTCCTTCCGCGAATGGTCATGTGAAGAGATTGTAGGCCGATGTCTTTGGTTTAACTTCGGAAACTACTTCTAATCGCACTCAAACTTTTGTAGCCTAACTTAAAACCGCTTTTTATGTGACATCTTGTCCTATGTTTCAGACGACGTTGAGCACAGTCTCGGCCAACAGGTGGCAGCATGTTTTTCACGCCATATCCGGGTTGTATGCCTCGCGCTCATTAAAAGCCTGGAGCTCGGTTATCATGTGAAACGTTTACCGAGTTAGCAAATAAACAGTGATATTCTCTGAATATGTGTCAGGGCACCAGGCAAGAAACTTTTTAGGTACTTTTATGACCGATGCGGGGAAACAGAAAGTAAATTTTCCAGAGCAGCGAATCGTCGCGGTGAACAATAACTTCAGTGTGCAATAAGGATTGGCCCAAATCAACTATAAGTTGAGATGAACCAAGGGTAGTTTATTTAAACTACACTACCAAGTTCTCCTTTGTTGGATAGTGAAAAGCCTATTGGCTTATGAAATGAAAGAAACTTTGTCTATAAACATGAATATTAAATCTCAAAAAGTGTTCATAAAAATACAAAAATTCCCAACTTGATTATTTTTAATCAACGCCGAAAACATAACATAAAGACGCGTTTTAAGAAACAGACGGTAAGATGGATTTCAACGTGAATCTAAAGCATCAAGTGGATAAAATTTTCATCTTCGTGACCGCATCTATTTCCTCTCAAGAATTTCATCTTTGATTTACTGTCTGGTTCTCATGTCAAGCTTCCAATTTAAAGTCTACTAAACATGGAAGATAAACATTTTGCATGACTTACCTTACTAGAAACAAAGGTACTAGACACTTTTTTCATTTGAATTCTGTTGCTGCCTGACACAGATACCAGGATTCCGGCCCATCAGAGCAGCGGCAGAGTATCAGGAAATACATCTCTGAGCTCTTAATAAGTGCTTGTGTTGTCAGTATTTCCAATCGTTAAGCATGTATTTATTACTGGCTGTCTGTTTACAGTTTATGAATATTATGCGGTCATCCCACTGAAGCTGATAAGTTTCAGCTGAAAGATCCACATGAAATTTTAGATTGAGTTTATAAAACTACCTCCCAGACGATTTCCTCAAAGCTAGCGCATCACATTTCGACGACTTTGAAAAACCAAAAAGAAGGTATAATCAGTATTTCAAACAAACTATAACAGTACTGGTGGCGGGGGTACAACTTTAGTTATCTGTCCTTAAATAGAGCGATAGACGAATATTTGCCGGACACGGCTACAGATTATGCGGTCCGTATCTCAACCGTAGGGCAGCAAGTGGGAACGTGGCGATGTGATCATTCATGTCGTAAAAACATAAGCGTTTTCTATTTAAAATTTTTACTTCTGTCGTTGTGCACCAAAACGTTTTTGATTTTATGACAAACTAACTAACGAAAGCTAAATTTAGTTAAATATATTTTGGCTTTTAATGCCATGTAGAAGAAGATCTAATTTTCGCAGGTGAAAGCATGAAAAGGAGTGCAAAAGAAAGGTGATCTTAGAAACAGAAACAGGGAAGGAGATTTGACTGCTGGAGCGAGAAGTTGTATTCGTTCGACGTTTCGAATTTATGTCAGTGTCCCCCATCAGAGGCAGCGACAAAAGGTACAAGCGACTGCATTATTTCAAATGATGCACTTAGTGCGCCACACACAAACCTGTCAAAATGTTGAACTCCCTTATTAATCGCAAATAGTCGTTCTGAGTGCGAGGATTACAAATCACAGTAAAACAGAAAATATGATTGCTGAAGTACACTACTCTCCACGGCGCTCTTTGCGAGCGGCCACCCGCAAAACTCTGCAAACCGGCGCATGTACACGCGGGACGAGATGCCAAACGCCACTTATCTCAAATTATGGCAAGGACTCCCGTACGTTATGAAATTCTCGGAAGCCATTGGCCCCCTTCTCATGTCGCGTGGGATTGGGATTTCATACTGGCCGGCGGTAGCCATCAAGCACTATGCCATGAAACAAGGTATCCGCTGGCATGACAGAAAACATTTGGAATGGTGTGCCACACCGAATGCAGTTGTGGGCAAAGAGCCATGTTGGGCGCTTTGGAAGACTACTTCGTGTGTGGACGGTCGAAAGTACAGCATCACTGGAGAGAGGTGACGCCAATGCCCAAGTCACAACATATTCGACAGCAGCCGGCCAGACCTTCGACGGGGCCAAACATTTCGCAAAGTATGACCACCGAGCAGAGCGTACGCAAATTGTATCGTGGTTTTTCGGAGCATAGATCGTTATCAAACGCAATGGTCTCACACCTTCTTATATAGTCTCGAAACTTGGCTTTATCAGAACAACTGGAAATTGGAACGCCAAAAGATCCACACCGTTAGCAAAATGTTTACAACTGACAACCCTGCTGAGGGTGATCAAGTAATAATCGACATTTATATTAATATCTGTGATGAATACGCGCCAACAATTCTGATGGTTCTGTATGGCGACATAGCGGCGTCCTAAAAATACTGAAACCCCTCGAGCATTCATTACATTTATCCGTTACTGTCTCTAATGATGAGGTCGGACAAAATCTGTAAGTCAGACAAATACAACTTCATGTTTCAACAACCGAGTTTCTTTCTTAGGCTTAAAAGTTATATTTTGCTCTTGGTCAGGTTCTAGCTCAAAACGTTTCTGACATTAATGTGTGTTTTATTATTGTGAAATATTCAGTTTTTTATCGTCATAAACTATCTGAGTCGGAATACCATTGGCTTCAGAGGGATAACACCGCACTATTCATAAAAGGCCAACGGGTAGCCAGTATTATGACAGATGAGCGCTTACAGATCCCGGGATTCGCTCGTCTTGCTGCTCCTTGGGACTCCCTCTAGAATCCTACCGGAAACCACACCGCAGCGCGTGATATGGACAGACTGGCACCACCGACTAGGGCAAGGGTGGCTGGAATGGCCACTTCTGGCTTGTTAGCCGTCGTCGGCCAACCATACCCACTCCCGGGGTGTGTAATCCCTGGGAGGGGTCTCATCAATGAGTGCCTCTGCGTTACCTATTTGGTTAGCATCCGTGCTTCCAGTATAGTAAATTATGCAACACTTGCATATTGCATGTGTGCACTACAGACAGACTGTTAGCTTTATGAATATTATGCGGTCATCCCGCTGAAAGTGGCGGATTTTGTCTAAGATATTTACGATAATGGTAGCGAATAATTTCTGGAGAGATTAAGAAGTTTAAATTTCGAACCTGAAGTATAGGCCAGAGAGCATCTGGCGAACGCTAGGAGACACCTCGCGGCTCTGTCATGTAGCGGCCGGATATCGGCGGAACACGTGTCTGGGCCTCTCGATTATGCCTTTGCACATTTGAACGTTATTTTCTTTTCTATCTTAATTCAATTTAAATACTGTTACTTAACCTCTTCCAAAAATCCGGACGTTGTGCGAATATACAAAGCGCGGTAAATGAAATTTCCTTTACTTCTAGCAAGACTAGAGTTTTTGAGTGGACGATAGATCATGTTTTGGTATAAAAACTGTTGAGCAAATAAGCGAATGGAAAACCCGCGAAAGTTATTTGTGATAGAGTTTGTTCATCTGAATGTGCACGTTTTTCAAAACGTATTTCACATTTCTTTCAAAATATTTCTTAAACTTCTTGAGAAAACTCAAACAGTACAGATAGTCTCAGACAGGCCTTTAATTTTCTTGAAGAGGAAGGGAGCATTTTTCATTTTTTAACTTCCCCAAAAACAGAACAATCGAAATATGTATCCACATTCACTGAGTCAGCACCAATAAATGAGTCAAGATGCATGTATAGGTTTTCTTTCTGTCCATCGGCTAACGCACATATTTTGCGTCTAATAAACGTTTTGTTGCCTTAATATTCGCTGGACGCGGAAGCCGACCGGAAAGACGTATGAAAAATGATCTCTGTTTTCTACTCTAGAAGCTAAAATAGTAAACGCCGTCGAAGTTTACTGAAACGGTTTGAACACGCAGGCGGTGTGTATATGCAAATGAGGCTTAGCCGGTGTTGGTTGACAGGCACTGTGTGTTTGTCGAATACAAGAGAAATCTGATTAACTACTATGCCACTTATTGAGTCCGCTCTCATCCCCGGCCAACTTGACTCATTCCTATCATTGACATTGACTTAAACCCTGAGGATCAAGTCAGACCAGTTTGGTACTAACTTATTTCACAACGATTTACCTGATGTGCATTTGCATTACCCCAGCCCATTTCACTTCGCAACCTGAAGGACTACAAATTGGTGGGCAAATTAGGTGTTTAGGACAAGGAGTCCGTTGACGATGACGACCCTTAGGAGGGAGGTTTGGTTCATGCCAGCTGATAGGCCAGAACTATCGTAGTGTGCGGAAAAGGAGGGCACATGTGGTGTCAGAAGTTCTATAAACCTTGAAAGATATAATAATGTCAAAGCAAAAAGATAGTTGCACAGTTAAATTGACCGTTGCGTGCACCAGTAGGGTCGAATTCAAGGGGTTTCCTAGAGCCGGTGGAAGCAGGAGTGTTTTGTTGGACTTAGGCGACACAAATTTCTGCTAACTGAGTCTGACACGCGATATGAACCCCTCCATTTATATCCATTTCAGTCTGGCAAACAAATTGAGAGTGATGACGTCTCCTGCCTAACCATCGCCGCCAACAGTCTTCAGTAAACTTAATTCTCTGCAGATTTGCCTCGTTTTGTTTTGGCTATTGCTTACTATCTAACTAGCAACATTTATAATTTTTATTTGAGTCGCATAATAACAGGCAAGCGACGCTATTTGACTTCTTTTGGCTGATTAGGAAATAGCTAAGTGCGTTAAGTATGCGTTTATTCTCAGAAATCTTAAAAGTGGCAATGGACAAATGCTGACATATCCCTATGTTGACCATTGAATCCTTGACAGAATTCCACCAACCAGCTGTAGGCAAATAAAAAAGTTGTATGCTATCGTCATCGGTACTTATTTTTCCCTTAGATGGCCACGGCGTAGAATCTGAACATCAATAAACATCATTTGTGATCACAAGGTACCTCAGTTATTGATGAAAAAATTACTGTTACAGCCATACTTAGAAGCCTGTCTACCGTATGAGAAGTCCACAGGAGGGAGGGAATTCGAAGATTTAGAGTAGAAATGCGTCCATTAAAACCAATCACGTGAATAGACATTTTTTCTAAGCCAATGGAACGCGATGTGGGACTTAGCGATTTTGATAGGGAAATACTATCACTTATGGCCCAGAATAATATGCAATCGTTTCAGTTGAATATCATAAACTGCTGTTGGGATTGCCGGCGTAAACATTTTAGGTTAGGATCGCTTGGCGTTATAATGTTCAGGTAAAATAAATGCGTAAAATCCAAGGCGAACTTGCGGATTATCGTTTCGATGGTTTTTCTTCACGCTTGCTAAATGACTTCGAACCAAGCAGTCAGGGATCTTTTTTGATTGGATCTTTCTCTGTCGATCTCATGTAAACGCTACAGGACAAACTAAAGAGTATCATGCAAAAACGCAAAACTGGCTATGTCTGCCGTTGCGCCCTGACGTCATAAACTCATTCTTGACCCTAGATGCGGCCTCCAAAGTTCTATCTGGGAGTTTTTTCCATATTTCATCCTTTCTCATGCGTTGAGAGCCATTCGTTTTAAATGCCTTTTAAGGCAATTATAATTCGGCATATATGTCTTTTGATTCAACATTTTTCAGTTGCGTCGAATATTGCTAATGATGATGGATTCGTGCGCAAATTTGAGACAGCAGGATGAAACTTTTGTTTCAGAGCATTACTAACTATGCGCAATTTTACCAGCCACGAAGCCCGATAAAGCTCAGACCGCTAAATAAATTTCCTTTGTAAAAGCATCGTCCGGGAAAATATAGTTATCACAGGTTCTTGTTACCACTTAAGCAGCATGTAGTGACCGTTGCCGGAATGAAGGAATATACTTCATTTTCCTTCATAGTACAACGTCTTCAAAACCAGTTCATCGTTTGCGTTCAGCAATTACATATCTAATGAGATTTCTGTTATGCATAACGAATAAAACGTACGATACTCCATAATCCCATTAAGATACAGCGATTCCTTCTGTTAAATGGACAGTGTGACAGTAAACTTACACGCCCAAAACTCTCGCTCTCAAAAACCTGAGAGGAAAGATTTGCTGTGCAGATGTGAATTGCCGTGCTCTGCATATTAAAAAATAATGGTTTATCAAGCAAACTACGCCACAATGTAAGTTTTACATGCGAAACTACCAACCATTTTCTAAGTTTTACGTCTAATTTGTGCTCCGGCAGATTAAGTAGGTTGGTTTAGATTGGACTCGACTTATAGGTCAGAAATAAGAAAGTGCTGACGTTTGCACAGTCGAAAATCGCCTTCGATGTATCCACTAACAATAAAGTCGGCAAAAATCCGGGCCGACCGCGATTCGCAAGTCGCAAGTAGGAATTTATTAGTTCCGCAGTTTTATTATCTGAAAATATCGTTACTTCTATTTAAAGCTTTTGATTCAGTTTTGTTTTCATACAACACACGTGGGGCGGTTCTTTAAAATTTATCTTTTTTATTTATCTCAGATATGAGTGGTACAACAATGGTCAACTGCTCTCAATCGGAACCTATGCAGATGCAAATGTTTATGCGCCAAAAACAGAAACAAAAAATTATTTTAAATTGGCCTCAGAAGGATCAAAGACGCTCCTGTGGGATTTCTCCAGCCAGCTGAATTCTGGTCGTTTGAAACCCGGCTGGATCAATTGCGTTGCTACCAATCCTAAAGGAAAAGCCCTTACTCCGCCTACCCGTCTTCGGATTGCTGGTACATCGATTCAAACTCTATTAAAATGTAGTTTTATACGTCGACCCTTATGCAAGTGAAACACATGCCGGAGGTCTGTTGCACTTATTGGATGGAATTCAGTTTACTTTCAAACACGCCAAACGACAGACAAATCCGATTAGAGATGTAGACTTGATAAGTATTATGGCCTCATCTATGAAGTAATTAGTTACTATTCAGAACTTAGTTAGACACAGATGGTGGATTGCTCTAAATCCACAGAGATTATGATTACGGTTAGAGCTATGTCATGATTAGGGTTGGTGTTACGATAAGAGTCAGGAGGGTAATGATCTGAGTTAGGGCTAGGAAGGTGAGGTTAAGAGCTAAAGTGCACAAGAATACCTACCCCATTGTAATTGGTCACGAGGCTACTAGTAGTACTGGGAGTTCATATTCCTGTGTCCGACCCAGGATGGGAAAACCACCATAAAGGGAAGCGATCAGGGAGTTGCGGCGCGCAGTTAAATGCCGTAAGGCACTATCGAATCACAACGAAACCCCCGTGATATGGGTTGAGTTGACAATACAGCGCAAAAAAATCAACCATTGCTTACGAAACGATACGGCGGTTCTCAAATGAGCATCGTTCCAGAAACAAGCCCCAATCTTCATGAAGAAAACGTTGCCAACATTATGAAACAACTTTAACTGAAACTTTGCAATCAAATAAGATCAGACTTACACACTTGATATATCCATTTTACAGAAAAACAGTTTTGAAATTGTGAGGTACAAACGGAGGATATGTTGGGTTCACTTACAATGCTAATTATAACGTACTTTAAACGCAGTAAAAGTATTCAAGAAACTTAGAAGCCGCGATTCTGTTAATGACGAATGTAGGCGTAAGGAGGTAGATAGTACAGGAATACTCGAATTCACGACGAATTCTTGCTCAATTTTCAAACGAGGCTAATTCAACGTCTACGGAAACCAGATGATAATTGGAAACTTGCAACAAAACGAAAATAGAAAAAGGAATACAGAATGTGATACTACATAGTTAGAAGAAATGACTTTTTTAAAAATAGTGGCAGTGCCGTTTTAAATGCAAAAACTAATTTGCTGAGGTGGATGGGAAATCAACTAAACAAGTCAAATCGCAAAAGTGGAACAACAGAAAAAATCCTTTCAAATAATCCTCAGGCCAAGTGTTCTTCATGGATAACTGCAATGTTCGGTATGACAGTGAACCCAATTCCTGACGTTTAATTGCATTACTCAGATGACATTTGAAGATTTCGATATAGTTTTTGTTTAGCGTTGCTTTCATACGTTTCATTCCGGATCATATTTTTGGCTTCATCCAAATACGAGGCTTGATAACTGCAGAAAACGGATGTCCAAAACGGCGGTCTGTGATGAGGGTGTCCTTAGTCAAATGATAAACCTATAATAAACCCCTTTTAAGAGCGATTTTCAAGGGCAGTTCGGAGGACAATGATCACTTCCTTCCTCCTTGTTCGTAGCAGCTTCATGGGGAAAATGGAAGCATTTTGTTTATATCAGCATGCTTCCCAAGGATACCGACAATATTTCAAAAGGAAACGAAGTACCGCATTTTTTGTATAGGAATTATTTCATCAATTTTGCTTTTTTGCGCTTAGTTCTATGCTTATAAGTGATCCAAATTGTACCCATATAAACACTGGAATATTTTGAAAGTGGATAAAGTGACGTCGGTTTAGTCTCCAAATTACTTATTAACCGCTATTCAATCGCATTAAAACGTCCCGTCATATTCCCCAAAATATAACTCGTACATCCCTACAAAGTAAAATTTTTGACAAGGGAAACTTCGTTTTTCTATAAATAATGAAGTCATTCATGTCTTTCTCGCCAGATTAACCCGGAAGGACAAATCAAGTTTGAAGCTAGTGGAGACTGTTGCTTTTTGATTTCTCCAGAAATGGACTGCTGACTTGGAATATATCAGTTCATACTAAACTTTATAGGCTCAGACCAAAATTTGATGTATAAATATTTGGCGGAAGTCCATCGGCCATAGCGGGATAACCGCGTACCATTCATTAACTGCCGACAGGCAGATAATAGTATATTTTAGGGTAAGAGGATACCAAAATAACGGCACAGGTGCTAGCTAAAAGCACAGACACGCGTGTTTTCCCGATATTCTGTCGCTGCAAGGTGCAGTTGCAGGAGGTTGGGCACTTCAGTTAGAATTATTTTATTGAATTGCTCTTAGTTCAGCGAATATTCCCATGTTGCAATTCAAAAGTCAAATTGGCGAACACGTGTTTTCAGTAACTCTTCATCAGGCCAAAACGGGTGCTAGCTACAG